CCCCAGGGCTGTGTCAGGGACTCAGGGCTGTTTTGGGGTCCCCAGGGCTGTGTCAGGGACTCAGGGCTGTTTTGGGGTCCCCAGGGCTGTGCTGGGGACGAGACCCCAGGGCCGTGCTGGCCCCACCACCCTCCCCTTCCTTCCCACAAGGACAGGAAGGACCCAGCCCTGTTGTTTCCTGCAGGGATGGGGGTCATGGGACACCTGTGGTGACAAAAGCCCTCCCCCTCCCGCGGCTGCTGCCCTTGTGACGCCTCCCAGGAGCCACCGAGTCCCGCGGCCCTTCCTCCCCAGGGCACTGAACATAAACCTCTGCTGGGGGCACCAGACCGGCTCCCTGGGCCCTCCTGGTGTCTCCCAGCCCCTGCCCTGGTGGGAATTCCAGGCTGCCCTTGCTCCAGGGCAGGGGGGTGTCCCCCCCGAGTCCCCCCCGTGGGGACAGAGCCACTGGCATCCCACCATGGGAGTGTAAGGATTTAAAAACCAAACCGGGGGGAAGCGGATCCGAGAGCCTGCGGATGTTCCTCCCTCTCCTTCCCGGTGCCATCACCCGCTTCCTGCCCTGCAACATCTCCCTGTGGCCACCTCTGTCCTGGCAGACGAGCCCCAGGCACCGTTCCCGTGTGAGGATCCGGGACTGGAAGTCACCACGGGGGATCTGTAGAAGACGGAGCCTTGGAAGAGACGTGGGGCCTTCCTGGATGTAGGAGAGGTCCAGGACAGCAAGGAGAGCAAGGGAGGTGAGGTGGGATCCAGGTCTCTGTGGGAATAAATGGGGAGGGTGGGACTGGGGGGAGGGAAGGGTCTTCCTCTGGGTTTGGGTGCTGTGGGTGAGTGACTGTGTTGGAAGGAGCTGGGCTGGTTCTGACCCGGGGACAAGTGATGCCATCGGGCTCCAGAGCCGTGTTCCTGCTGTGGATCCAGAGGAGGGAAACAGTGGGAGACAAACAAAGCTTGGAGAGTGGAGAAGCTGGAAACAAACTGGGCCGTGAAAGGGCCCACACCTTGGCTCCTGGGGGTTACCAGGGGTTCAGTCCCAGCCCAGCCGTGATGCC